AGGAAATGGACAAATTTCTAGAAACTCACTACCTACCTAAACTAACACAAACAGAGGTAGAACAACTAAATAAACCCATAACAAAATAAGAGATTCAAAAGATAATTAAAAACTCCCAACAAAAAAAAGCCCTGACCCGGATGGCTTCACTGGAGAATTCAACCAAACTTTCAGAGAAGAGTTAACACCACTACTACTAAAGGTATTTCAGAGCATAGAAAAGGGTGGAATACTCCCAAACTCATTCTATGAAGCCAGCATAACCCTGATACCAAAACCAGGTAAAGACACCACAAAAATAGAAAATTACAGACCAATATCCCTCATGAACAGTAACGCAAAAATCCTCAACAAAATTCTAGCCAATAGAGTTCAGCAACATATCAAAAAATTCCATCGTGATCAAGTGGGATTTATACCAGCTATGCTGGGATGGTTCAACATTAGAAAAACAATCAATGTAATCCATCACATAAAGAAAACAAAAGACAAGAACCACATGATCTTATCAATCGATAAAGAAAAGGCATTTGACAAAGTCCAACACCCATTCATGATAAAAACTCTCAACAAAATAGGAATAGAAAGGAAATTCCTCAATATAATTAAAGGTATTTATACAAAGCCAAAAACTAACATCATTCTAAATGGAGAGAGTTTGGAAGCATTCCCCTTGAGAACGGGAAACAGACAAGGATGCCCTTTATTACCTCTCTTATTCAACATTGTGCTGGAGGTCCTAGCCAGAGCAATTATGCTAGAAAAAGAAATAAAGCACATCCAAATTGGTAGGGAAGAAGTCAAAGTATCTCTGTTTACAGATGATCTGATCTTATACACAGAAAACCCCAAAGAATCCACAAGAAAACTACTGAAACTAATAGAAGATTTCAGCAAAGTTTCAGGATATAAGATAAACATACAAAAATCAGTTGGATTCCTTTACACCAGCAAAGAGAACGTCGAAGAGGAAATCACGAAATCAATACCATTTACAATAGTCCCCAAGAAGATAAAATATTTAGGAATAAATCTAACCAGAGATGTAAAAGATCTGTACAATGAAAACTACAGGACACTACTGCAAGAAACGAAGAGACCTGCATAAGTGGAAAAACGTACCTTGCTCATGGATAGGTAGACTCAACATAGTGAAAATGTCAGTTCTACCCAAAGCAGTCTACAGATACAATGCAATCCTAATCCAGATTCCATCAGCATTTTTTAATGAGATGGAGAAACAAATCACCAATTTCATATGGAAAGAGAAGAGTCCCCAAATAAGTAAAGCGTTACTCGAGAAGAAGAACAAAGTGGGAGGCCTCACACTACCTGATTTTAGAACCTATTATACCACCATAGTCAAAACAGCCTGGTCCTGGTACAACAACAGATACATAGACCAATGGAACAGAATTGAGAATCCAAACATAAATTCATCCACCTATGAGCAGCTGATATTTGATAAAGGCCCAAAGTCTGTAAATTTGGGAAAAGACAGTCTTTTTAACAAATGGTGCTGGCATAATTGGATATCCGTCTGCAAAAAACTGAAACAAGACCCATACCCCACACCACGCACAAAAACTAACTCAAAATGGATCAAAGACTTAAATATAAAAAACGATAAAGATCATGGAAGAAAAAATAGGGACAATGCTAGGAGCCCTAATACATGGCATAAACACAGTATGAACTGTAAGTAACAATTCACAAGCACCAGAAGAGAGACTAGATAAATGGGAGCTCCTAAAAATCAAACACTTAACTCATCCAAAGACTTCACCAAAAGAGTCAAAAGACAGCCTACAGACTGGGAAAAAATTTTTGGCTACAACAAATCTGATCAGCGTCTAATCTCTAAAGGCTACAAGATACTGCAAAACCTCAACAACAAAAAGACAAATAACCCAATTAAAAAATGGGCAAAGGATATGAACAGGCACTTCGCCAAAGAAGATATTCAAGTGGCTAACAGACACATAAAGAAATGCTAACCATCATTAGCCATTAGAGAAATGCAGATAAAAACTACAATGAGATATCTCACCCCAACAAGGCTAGCATTAATCCAAAAAACACAAACTAATAAATGGTAGAGAGGTTTTGGAGAGACTATTGGTGGGAATGTAAAATGTTGCAACCACTTTGGAAATCGATTTGGCGCTTCCTTAAAAAGCTAGAAATAGAAGTACCATACGATCCAGCTATGCTGCTCCTTAGAATATATTCTAGAGCAATAAGAGCCGTCAGATGAATAGATATATGCACACCCATGTTCATTGCAGCACTGTTCACAATAGCAAAAAGATGGAAACAACCTAGGTGC